CAATGATTGGCATAGAAACATCTGCAACAACGAAAATCCAGTGGATGGGTTTGCGTAAACCCACGTTAAGGTAAACGTACCTTTTGCCATACGTAGCGATCGGTTTTCCGTTTGCCGCCTGTAAGTTTAGGGTGGATTCGTGAAGTCGGTCGTTAGGATTTGCTGGGAGAACGCTAACTTCTGCGCCAGTATCGACGAGGTAGCGAACTCTCGTTGTCACATCTGTGACGAATAACAGACGGCTTTGTTCGCCGGCTACGGTTGCCGTTAATGCGTGCCGGCTTGGAAGTTTCCCGAATTGCTTTTCGAATCAGTCGGTTTCGTGTTGGGAAAATTGCAGGGTTTTCTACAATTTCTGGAAAGCTTTCCATACTGGTTATGATACCAGCACCAGTCGGGGTTATCTGTCTCTTGTGGTCTAGAGACAGATCGCTTGCGAGAAATGCTTCTACGTGGTGTGCGCGATCTCTTACAGTCGGTACGAAGACTAAGATAACGCGTGAGTGTGTGACATAAGTCGGTTATATCATTCTGAGTCGTTTGAGGTTTTTCTTTGACTGAAAATACCTCGGTAGTAGATTTCGTAATTTCTAAAATGCGGTCGGCAGATGCAGCTGGCTCGTCTAAGGCGTTGTTCTGGAACGAGACCAGAACTGCTTGCACCTGTTGGGGAAGTTTTGACAAGAAGAGTTGTTTGAATAGACCTTCGTCAAAAGTTCTTGGGCCTATTATCTCTCTCATCCGTTGCAACATGTCCGTCGCAGAACCGTGTTGCAGGTCGATATTGTTGAAGAGTTGATCTAACCTTTGTCGATCAGTTAGATCTCCTCGTTTAAGAATCGAGCGTTTTAAGATTTCGTAAGGATCGGAAACATCACTAGTAAACATACTAGGTGTTACGTACCTGTTGAATTCGCGCGGTAGTGCCTTGACTACTGCGAGGAATTGTGCACGTGTGTCGATCACGCCGTGCTCGGAGAAGTCGGCTTCAGCGTAGCAAAACCAGGCTTCGATGTTGTCGGGCCAGAAAGGCATGAGTTGAAACGAAGGCGGGGACAAAGTCTTAAGCTTGAGTACTTTAGGTGTGTGTTCAGTCATGATGAAGTATGAAGTACGATAATGAACTAGGGGAAAATATATATATCCAGGAAAAAACACGAAAAAAAAATCACAATGTTTAAAAAAGTTAAAAAAATAAGGCAATGATATATAAAAATCCCAAAAAGGAACAGACTCACAGTTGCAATTAGGTGTACCAGATCACGTCGGTTTCACCAATGATGATGTCACAGGTATTCAGTGTTTGACAACGCTTCTACCAGTAACACCTTCTAATATATTTCGTTCCCGCCCAGAGAAATCAAAAGACAGAGTCGAGGAGATCGGAAGAGTATATTTGGCGATGACCAATATATCGGAATTCTCTGATCTAATCTGGCTAGCGATTGCGGTTGATGTTGAGCACGGCGTTACCACACGTGATCTGGTGCGGATGCATGACCGAGCGCCTTCAGCTAGATGAGTCCACTAAAACATATGGTCAGCATCCAATGTCGAAAACTTAGTGCTATTTATTTTGGGGATTTATTTACCGCTACACCAACAAGTCAATGAATTGATGTATTGTTTTCCAATTATACATCATGCAAATAATGCAAATGTACAATGCTTAAAAATTTATTGCCACAAGTAACGCGAGTCTACTACTCATATCAGATTCAGATTTGTGTAGTAAGGACAGGCCTACGGCCTATGTTATTCCTTTTCTAGTATGCTTCTGTGAGTGTCCAGTCTTCTCTTGAAAGAGTCAATTGAAGGTGCGGATACCACTGCTTCAGGCAGCAGGTTCCAAGTATTTATGACTCGGTGTGAAAACCTGTATGCCAGAGGTATTTTGTTCGTTCTTGGCTTTTCTACTCGCCTGTTATGTCCTCTGAGGTGTCCCGATCTAGTGGGAAGAAAGAGAGAATAAGTTAGGTCGGAAATCATTTCTCAGTATTCTGTACATCAAAATTAGATCTCCCCTTAGTCTGCGATAGGACAGAGTAAAGAGGTTCAGTTTTTCAAGCCGCTCTTTATATGATAAACCCCGGAGTTCCAGAATTGCACGCGTAGCTGCCCGCTGTACCTTTTCTAGTATGTCTGAGTCACCTTTTAAACAGGGGCTTGCAGCCTGAACACAGTTCTCTAACTTAGTTCTCACTAAGGATGTGTATAATGTGGTGAACATGGTAGTATCAAGCTTAATGAATGTCCTTTTTAAAGCCCAGAGGGTTCGAAACCCCTTAACTGCGACCTCCCAGCAATGGGCAGCCGTCTTAAGATCATTGCTCACTGTCACCCCTAGGTCCTTATGAGACCGGACTACGGGTAATGACACATCCCCTATGTTGTACCTATTAACCTTTGAATCCCCCAAGTGCATGTAGACACACTTTTCCGAGTTGATAGGCATTAGCCACTCTTTAGACCAGTTTATCATATTATTTAAGTCCGCCTGAAGAGTAAATGCGTCTTTGTCTCCAGTTATTACTCGCCAAATTTTTACATCGTCAGCGTATAATAACATTGGAGACTGTACTATACTTGTAAAATCATTAACGTACATTATAAAAAGTAAAGGACCTAGGACGGAACCTTGGGGTACTCCACTAAGTACTGGTCTCCAGATGGAGCACTTGGAATTTATTCTTACTTTTTGCCTACGACCTACTAGGAAATCCTTAATCCATTTTAAAAGAGGTCCGGCAATACCAAGGTTTTCCAACTTCAATAGCAATCTATTAGTTGGCACCTTGTCAAAAGCCTTACTGAAGTCTATGTAGACAACATCCACTGAGTTTCCGTTGTCTAGCGCATTAATCCAGAGCTCCCCAGCTATAAGGAGGTTCGTTGTACAGGATAGACCCTTTCTAAAACCATGTTGTGCCATGTTCAGCAAGTTATTGGTTTCCATAAATGCTGTTATGATCCGTTTGATTATTCTTTCCAGTATTTTAATTACAACGCTGGTGAGGCTTACGGGTCTGTAATTTGATGGAACTTGTCGTAGACCTCTTTCATGTATGGGAGTGACGATTGCGTCCTTCCAGTCCATAGGTAACACACCTTGGTCAAGTGACATTTTGAATATCACAGTCAGTGGGGCTGCGATATATTGGGCAATATGTTTCAAGATTTTAGGGTGTAGTTCATCTGGTCCTGTTGACTTCTCCATGTTTAGGGTGCTAAGAGCCTTAAGCACATCGTTTTGGTCGGAGTCCACGGTGAGCAGCTGGTTTGTAGAATCTGTTATCTATCAGCCCTACTGGTTATGAAACCAGTCACTTGGATTTCACTATTTCAAACCTCTGACGTTAACCAAGATTACGAGACAAGGATAACACCCGGTTTTTATTTAGGCACCAATGACTTCAGCTCCGCCATTTTATTTAGTAGGCTGCGAGCATTTGTGTAGCACACTTTTAAGTCTGTGGAGAGCTTTCCCTTGCCACCCAGAGTGGCTTGGGGATCGTTTTGCTCCGAACTTTTACAATCTGAAACGAGGTTTCTTTCACCGTTTCGGCGACGCTCGTTTATTTCCGCTTCTTCAGCTCTTCTCTTAATACGATCAGCTAGGCTGAGGTCCTCACGGACATATATTCCGGATCCAATCAGTTTACGTGAATTACTTAGAATCATGTTCCTTTCTTCCACCGTGTTGAATGTAACCTTTAGGAGGCGGTTTTTCTGAGGACTTTCGGAATCCACCTTTTTTCCTATTCTATAAAGCTTACAAATACTAACTCCTGAAACTGTATCTGGGAGTAGTTTACTTAATGATGTCTTAATATGATTGAGATCATGTTCAAATCTTGCCTTTGGTTCAGTATCTGAAGATTCTCTTATCTTATGAAAAATGACTGATCTCTCAGAGAGATCTGTCTTTTCACGCGGTGAGGATTTTTCTTCTGATAACATCCCTTCCAATGTCTTGCTGACCAGCTGCGTTTTGCCTACAGCCTTTTTCTTCTTATTTTTTTCTTCTTACCGTAGTCCATTTGTCACCACTCAGAACAGCCACACCTGAACTACGTGGAACGGTGACAGTTTTATCCGGATCTTCTATTTCGACTAGAGGTGTATGACTGCCGATGTCAATATCAAGCGACACTTCATTTCTCGTTAATGTCAACGGAGATTTCACGTTCCCGTCAACCGCAGTCAGGTGTTTAATGGGTCCAGTAGCAGCACTTACTACACTGACACATTCTTCATCGTCAGTGCTCCTGTTATCAGTGCTTCCGCCATCGTTTTTCTTGCAGGCCAAAGCCAATAGGCCCATAGCCTCCTGTATTAGTACCTTTTTATCCGTACAGCAGAACATACAAAGCCAATGCGAGTTAGGCTTCGAGCATCTTTTGTAAGCCGTCGGACTTAGTCGTGTACACATTTTGTGATACCACTTTTTACAGTCGTCACACTGCATTCCCTCCTCAACGGAGAACAAACAATTTGGTTGCCCACATTTGTGAGTCTTACCAACCATTGTAATTCGATTTAAAAGGTTTAAAAACAAAAAATGATAACAATATGAACACAAGTGTTAGTCAAGGACTAAAAACAGGTACTCAGGACAAAATATAGTGAAAAATTTCAAACTTTAACCAAAGAACTCTTAGTTAAAGTAGACCGAGAATGCTTTTTAGTGCAATAAGTACCAAAAGCAAGTATAATCAAAACAAGTACAAAAATCACTGCCCGTTTTGAAATTAGCGCGCAAGATCCAATCAATCTGCAAAGTAAAGTCCAGTGAATAAAGACACTCGTGGGAGTTTATTTGTGAGAGCCAATTAACCAATTCCTTTCAGAGGTACAATATGGCAAAATGGACTGTAGACATACCTACTCTTTACAAGTAATCTAATGCTAGAATAAACTGTGGTTTGAAGTGGTTCAAGTGATTAATTTTTGTGACTTTTTCAGGAGTAAAGACAACGTATTCCCAGATACGCATCCCCATGAAAAGTCCAGCTGTTATTCCCAACAAACAGGTTCGGACATTGAAAGTTGTTTAAAATGATTGGCCATAGTCGTCTCAACTTCCTGTGGAAGCGGAAGTTCACCGTCTGTCTTTTGCGTTTGTGATTTCCAGCATTTCTATCCCACCTGCCATAAAAACCCCAGGAAGTAAGGAGGCACAAAAGCATGTGAAGTAGTAGGTTTCCACTTTTGGAGTATTCAGTTTACATTTCAGCTAAAGGTAACAGTGGGTACGGAGAATCGTAACGACTTGAGTGAGGCACATCCACAGTTGCTGAAATTTTCTGGTAGTTAATTCGATCAATTATGTAAGTTACATAGGTTATCGTTCACATGTGCATTTCTCATCTAAGACTACAACTCGATCGTTATACGGGGTCGTTAGGAGGTAATCAATAATGACTCAACTTAGTTATTGGGTGTTGTCTAGTGCATTCACTATTGACTGCTAAGCAGTGGAGCAACGTCAGGAGATACAGTCTCATGGTAGCCGACAGTTCTAAAAAGAGTATTTTAATAAACATCAAAAACATTTCCTATTTTCTAAATGTAATTAACATGATAAAGAGCATTAAAACTAGCAGAGAGAGGTTCCTAGAGTTGTGATTTATCAGTTTAACCTACTATTTGAACAGAATTTTAGTCCCAACAATTCAAATCATATTAATTACCTTCGGAACTTTCCCCTTTTGAGTAAACCTTGTACTGATAACGCTGAAGCACGTTTTTTGGTCAGTTTGGTGGAAGAACTCTCCACACAATGCTCAACAGTTTTGTCCGCCCCCATTTAGAGTACGGAAACAGTATTTCCTCCCCCACACCAAAAGGATAAGGACACTTGGGGATATACCCAAAAGCGGGTTACGTAATCAGTTCGGGCACTCAAACTCAAGACTTATGAAGAGCACACTAAACCATTACCCGTTAGAGTACAAGCGTCTTAGAGGTGATCTACAGCATCATCACTTTTTGACATCCCTTTAAACACCTACTTAGGTTTGTCTCCAACACAAACCTAACGGGTAATACCCAGAAACTAGAAATACAACTTAGCCGAACGGACTGAAGACAACTTTGATTCCTTAGTCAAATGCTGGTTTCACAGTAGTTCTTTAAGAGGAAACGACATTCTTAAGGACTAAGTATAGTATTTTACTATGATTTACCAATTTCTTTTTCCTCTTTTGTAATTATCCCTAGGTTCCTGCCTGGAGGTATTGGTGATCCACTGCTACTAGACACTGATGCCCGTTAAGGGGAAGCATCTCCTATTCCGTCCACAACCATTTGAACCACTCCTGTTTAACGTGTATTGGAGTTATCTAGTTCTGATTTAAAGAGGTGGGTCTTCTAAACTGCCGTAATGTCTAATTATTAAACGTGTCTAGGGAACTGCATGACTGACAAATGGCATGCTAATCCTAAAATAAGAACTTGAAAATGGTTGGTTGGCTAACTGATAACTTTTCTTTTTTGCTTTAGTAAATACTTTAATCTAGTTTCACAACCTGGAATGGTACGATACTTTTATTACCTTATGCACCTTCACTTTAGCCTCAGACGTCCTTTACTATTTCACGGTAGGATTTTATTTGGATAACTAGTCTCTAGTCACTTCTAAGAAAGTAGTAAAGTAATAGCTAAGAGGCATCAAGTCAACGATTATTTTGTAAAAAGGTGTCTGACAAGTTTGGGATTTGTCCATGTAAATTGCGAGGGACTGTGTGCTAATTATTTTCTTAAATTACATCACATTTGTCAATAATTAGTGCAACTTATCGCTTTTACCTGATATAACGTCAGTGGACTCTCCAGGTAAGTTACAGGCAAATTATCATTTACTTTTCCTCAAAAATGTTGGATACTTGACATCTGGAAATTAATAGCATCGTTCATAAAATGCCAGTTCACTGTGTGTTCACTAACTGTCAAGCGACACTTACCTTTCACGGCTACTAATGTAAATGATGCAGTATTTCTTGGATTAAGGTAACCAAATTAGGGTCAGTTTCTTGATGTCATGAAATATCCAAGGTTACAGGGATATGGGTTGGAATACGTCCCACTGAGCCTCTGGTTCTTAATCATTAGCTGTGAAGGAGCCTAACGACACTGGGTATTTGGTCGGTTTGACGGTAATCTAGATGTATACTTTCGCTTCCCGGATGTTTATTTCGTACTACCCGCTGGTAAGTCCTCGAATAGAATATCCATAACGCAGCTTTTCGCACTGTCGTTCATGAAAGCTACTGTTTCTTAGTTGACGGGTTATGTATGATCGCCAAAGTACCGAGATCCGTAGTTTTCCACATATGTCTTTAAATTAACAGTCTTGCTTTTGCTCCTTTTTTAGGACCCAATCTATGGCTGGGGGCATGCTTCTTACCTATGCATACCTACATGCTTTGATGTGCCGAAGGATTCCAACTGCTTGTTCGCAGCTTTGAGAAAAATGTGGTATTGATGGGTGTTTACGTTCCAGTCCACCTGAATGATATTATTTAAAAGACTTCTGATTGATTTCTGCATGTATCACATGTCACTAATTTCACTTGTTATTAATATATCATTGAAACTATATTCTTCTTACTATAACAGATGGACAACACTTGCAACCGTGTAAAATGGAACGGGGTTTCTTTTTACTTGGCTTTACTTTGAAAGTCATCAATGTTTGTGATTGATTTGTAAGTACTGTTTTCGCAATGACATTTGACAAAATTACTTGAGGAATCTGAGTAGCCCTTGAATTTAAAGTTAGATGGGTTTAAAATTCATATAGTAAAGCTGTTTGTTTAAAATTTGATAGCGTTAAAATCATTTTGGTCGTGCAGCTATCACAACATAAAGGAGCCAATGGAAATTCCGTATCGGTAAAGAATGTGAGTTCACTACTAAGATAATCCTTCATGTTGATGTCTGTGTTCACATACCTGTTTGTTTCTTAGGTGTCATGGGATCACTCTCGCAGTGTATTCGTAGCTCGCTTTAACGTCAAGCCATTCGCAAGAAAGTTACATTCTGGGACATCCTGCTCACCCAATAGATAAACCTATCAAAATACATGGTAAACGTCTCCCACTTTTCCCATGTGGCGTTAATAAAACTTTTCGTAGGCACATCAACCAGTAAATTATATCCACTAACTTCACAAACTTGTTAATTTTATTGTCTACAGCATACAAAGGTTCCTGAATATTGTGAGCGTTGGTACCGCTCATTTGGAAGTCGTCCATTCCTCCAATATGCCCTGTAAGATTCTTTACTGTTATGTCTCTTTCTATTCACAGTTTATTTTATGAGTTCCGTTGGGTTACATGCCCTTACATTAATCTCGATAACTAATATTCTCAGCGCAAGAACGTGTGCCTTTCAAGTTGGTGCCACGTGTTCAGTTCTCGGGGGACCCTAGTCCGTATTCACTTTAATTAAGAGAGCGCCTAGAGAATGTACGCCCATTAGACCTAGTTCCTCTCTCGTCTTCACTGCTCTGGTTGTAAACTTGGTGTGACTGATTCCATACCTTTATAAGCATATTTTGGTATATTAAAACTCAAGTTAAGTAATTTCACAGTAGACGGTCTATTAAATTGTTCAGAATATCATGGTTCTCTTCGGCCTGCACTTGTCCCTGTCGATCTTGAATCCGACCGGGTATGACTACTCTGGTCAACTCATTCCTGTACGGGGCTCTGTGTTCATGATATCTGTTCTTGTACTTCGTTTGTGTTTGGATATTTGGTTGACTGACTGGCTTATATTCGCTGAGTATCCCGCTAATTAAGAACAACCGGTCTCTGTAGAACTATCCTGCCGTTCATGGTACGAAATTACTGTTAGTCCTTTAAGCTATTAATCACTTACAGATTTGCACTGGGAAACAAATCTTAAAGCCGGTAAGGTTGTATGTATTCCTTTAATAGAAGTGGTGGCATCGTGCTGTCTGAAATTATTGTGAATGCTGCATATTGGGTAAAGTCGTATCCTAGTGGCTTCTAAACTTGGGAGTTACTAATTTTCAAGTGTCAGGTTAAGCAGAATTCTGATGTAAAGAGCAGAAATTTGTGCCGTGAGTGCTTACTTGTCAGATGATTTCTCATGAAATTTCAAATATTAGTCAAGACAACAAAGAGCATGATCAGATGTTTAGTGAATGACCACTACTTTGTGATACTGGGGTGCGGGGTTGACATTTCAGTCCTCTATCTTTTAAAGTTGAATGAAATTTAAAATTACAAAGTTCTGTATACCACAAAACTAAATGTTATCATTTAGATATCTGATCAACATCCGGCGAGTGTTTTGGACTGCAGCACCCGTTTTGAACAGCTCTCGAACAAGATCTTTCTGACTGACATTTAACTGACTAATTTATTCTCAGAAATATTCTTAAAACAGCATACATTACAAAGCTACATTTAATGTCGACCAAGAATGATCAGAACTGCAATAAATTATATACGTACTGGTTTATAAGCTAAATCATAGTGGAAGTTTATTAAAACGTTCGAAGACAGTAAGCTGGCTAGTTATTGCAATTGGACCAGTGCACAGAAGCTACAAGCTGACGAAAAAGATAACTTTGCTGATTCCGACTGGCGTTGCTTGAAAAACCAGATAGGACGAACACGGAAGTTTGCCCATATTATTAGGGTTTCACAGTAAAAAACCTAGAAAGCTAGGGAGACTACAAAAAAAGAAATCCGTACATTGAAAACATATTCAGTCACGTTCAAAGAGATGTGCAGAATGTGACAGAGCACAAAACTATCCATAAAATATCAAGAAGAAAAATGAATATGCTCCGGTAAAGAATACAATGACTGTATATATATATAAGAAACAAATTATAATAAGAAAAGTCACTGGAGACAACAACGATTCTCATCATAGGAAAAATTTCTATAAGAGTAAAAACAACAAAACCATACGGGACCATTTAAAGAAACCCGGTCAAGGAAAAATTATATAGAAATATAAACAGTCACATATACATTAGTGATATATATGTTTTCATGTGGCTAGTGAGTGTTGGGTGTTGTGATGATCACGGAGAAATGGAAGGAGTAGGCGTTGAATGAATTTTGGTGTTTGGTGTACAGGTATGTATTTCTGTGTGTGTTATGCCGCGAAAGAATCAATCAGGTATGTCACAAATGTTGACGCGTAATAATAATATAATAGATGATGGTATTAATTATTGTAGGGTGTTAGTTGCCTGAGTGTTTCTTTCTCGTTTTAGACTAGTGTGAATTAATTGTGTTATAGACGGTTGTATTTGTTGGAAGAATGGGCTTACTCTCTGGGATAGGATTCGTTGGATTTGGAAATGAATTTGGAGTTGGTGATGGTAGTGTTAGTGGTGGTTAACTGAACGACTAGTTAGTATATTGTTGTTGATTGTTAACTATGCAAATGTGTGGTTATTTCTTTCCTGTGATAGAGTTAGAGGACAAGGCTTGCTGTGGATGATAGGTGATGAATTTGCAATGAGCAATAATGGAATCAGTAGTCTCTGTGATGATTGTAGGAATGGAACTGGTTGTTTTAATTGAGGAGAAGGTGTTGTGGTCAGTGTGCCACGAATGGATCAACAAGTAAGTTTTGACACATGTTAATGCTTTGACAGGAGAACTGAATTCTGTGGATTGATGGACTGTGAGTGAGTGTGTGAGTAGTTAAGTAAGTGAGTAAGTAAGTGAGTGCCAATGTGAATCGAGATTGTGGAATGTTTTCTCTCTGTGTATATTTCCACTAGTGATATTTAGGTTTTCATGTGGCTAGTGAGTGTTGGGTGTTGTGATGATCACGGAGAAATGGAAGGAGTAGGCGTTGAATGAATTTTGGTGTTTGGTGTACAGGTATGTATTTCTGTGTGTGTTATGCCGCGAAAGAATCAATCAGGTATGTCACAAATGTTGACGCGTAATAATAATATAATAGATGATGGTATTAATTATTGTAGGGTGTTAGTTGCCTGAGTGTTTCTTTCTCGTTTTAGACTAGTGTGAATTAATTGTGTTATAGACGGTTGTATTTGTTGGAAGAATGGCCTTACTCTCTGGGATAGGATTCGTTGGATTTGGAAATGAATTTGGAGTTGGTGATGGTAGTGTTAGTGGTGGTTAACTGAACGACTAGTTAGTATATTGTTGTTGATTGTTAACTATGCAAATGTGTGGTTATTTCTTTCCTGTGATAGAGTTAGAGGACAAGGCTTGCTGTGGATGATAGGTGATGAATTTGCAATGAGCAATAATGGAATCAGTAGTCTCTGTGATGATTGTAGGAATGGAACTGGTTGTTTTAATTGAGGAGAAGGTGTTGTGGTCAGTGTGCCACGAATGGATCAACAAGTAAGCTTTGACACATGTTAATGCTTTGACAGGAGAACTGAATTCTGTGGATTGATGGACTGTGAGTGAGTGTGTGAGTAGTTAAGTAAGTGAGTAAGTAAGTGAGTGCCAATGTGAATCGAGATTGTGGAATGTTTTCTCTCTGTGTATATTTCCACTAGTGATATTTAGGTTTTCATGTGGCTAGTGAGTGTTGGGTGTTGTGATGATCACGGAGAAATGGAAGGAGTAGGCGTTGAATGAATTTTGGTGTTTGGTGTACAGGTATGTATTTCTGTGTGTGTTATGCCGCGAAAGAATCAATCAGGTATGTCACAAATGTTGACGCGTAATAATAATATAATAGATGATGGTATTAATTATTGTAGGGTGTTAGTTGCCTGAGTGTTTCTTTCTCGTTTTAGACTAGTGTGAATTAATTGTGTTATAGACGGTTGTATTTGTTGGAAGAATGGGCTTACTCTCTGGGATAGGATTCGTTGGATTTGGAAATGAATTTGGAGTTGGTGATGGTAGTGTTAGTGGTGGTTAACTGAACGACTAGTTAGTATATTGTTGTTGATTGTTAACTATGCAAATGTGTGGTTATTTCTTTCCTGTGATAGAGTTAGAGGACAAGGCTTGCTGTGGATGATAGGTGATGAATTTGCAATGAGCAATAATGGAATCAGTAGTCTCTGTGATGATTGTAGGAATGGAACTGGTTGTTTTAATTGAGGAGAAGGTGTTGTGGTCAGTGTGCCACGAATGGATCAACAAGTAAGTTTTGACACATGTTAATGCTTTGACAGGAGAACTGAATTCTGTGGATTGATGGACTGTGAGTGAGTGTGTGAGTAGTTAAGTAAGTGAGTAAGTAAGTGAGTGCCAATGTGAATCGAGATTGTGGAATGTTTTCTCTCTGTGTATATTTCCACTAGTGATATTTAGGTTTTCATGTGGCTAGTGAGTGTTGGGTGTTGTGATGATCACGGAGAAATGGAAGGAGTAGGCGTTGAATGAATTTTGGTGTTTGGTGTACAGGTATGTATTTCTGTGTGTGTTATGCCGCGAAAGAATCAATCAGGTATGTCACAAATGTTGACGCGTAA